TCCGGGCTAGCTGGCGAAAGTCTTATGTAAAAAAAAAAAAAAAAAAAAAAAAAAAAGAAAAAGATATCTGAAAGTTATTAATAAATTTCCACGAGTATATGCGTCTTTACAGCATTCACCTGCGTGTGTGCAAGGGCACCGGATACGAGAATCGCACACACAAACGTGTTGCAGACCACTAATGTTGCTTGCACGTCTGTCACACGCGACACACATACACGTTCCCGGACAAATGATGATTACTGCCGGTACATCAATGTTATGTGCTCAATAGTAGCAATGGAAACTAGCTATAGTAAAATTGCCGTGTTTTTGCATTATTTATATTTGCACTCTTATAATTGATTTGAATTTTTACTTATAGCTTTAAGTAAAATAAGATTGTAATGTATATTTAACTAATGGAGATAATATTGAAAAAAAAAAATTCTATGATTGTATTTTACCGAGAAATACTAATCGTTGAGCAAACGCTGTTCGTAAAAGATACAAATTCTCCAAAATGACAAGAGTGACAGAGTCTTAATGTGAAATGAAGAATATTTTTTACCATGGCACACACACACACATATATACATATGCGCGCTATTAATGTGCGTCCATTGTTAGCATTTTCGACCTTGCAGCACGCGAGAATATGCACGGGGAACAATCGGGATGGTCAAGGAGAACTTATATTGAATAATCAGCTTTGCGAGGAAAAAAAAAAATGATTGCGCTGCCTATGAATGAAAAGAAGGAAGCCATGAATTTCTGATTACCGTACACTTTGTAAACACCATTTCGGAGCGGAGATCACGAATAACAATGTATCGTCTGTGGACAGGCAAAAACCTTTACCATAATCGTACCGTCACTTCCTCCGTCTGTAAGGATTTTTGCGACAGGACAGTAATGACCACGGAACAGAGTCTTTAAAAGGAGAAAAAAAATTACAATCTCAGAGCAATCATATCCTAAGCGAGATGCCTTTTTTTACCGCTAAATGTCTGGGATGTCTTCAAAATGTTACGTCAACTTTATAGTACTAATAGAGTACTAATGGATATAGAAAAATTCTCGGGAGCGATGCTAATAAACGCGATAAATATAGAGGCGTATTATCTGCACATATCGCGGCAAACGAATGTATCGCCAAATATGGTATATGCATACTTTCTCTCTTTTTAGAAATCCCGAAAATTCTCGATTGTCCCCTCCGTAGGATTATTTATAAATACCAGCGAGGCGAACGCGCGCGAAGATTTAGAGCGTAATCATCGCGCGCCTCTCTTACGAGATACTTATTATCGCTGTAAGAATGAATCCGTAATATCGAGACGAGCCGGCAGGCCGAGCGAAAGTGCCTCGGCCGCATAAATGTCGGGCCGAGAACACCGGGAACGTGGCTTAACAAATGTGGTGAGATCGGAGAACCGGAAGCGAAAGGCGCGCGCGCAGCTTCACGATTCGTTTGGTACGACGTATACACAAGATCGTCAGTCTCCCAGTCTTTAACGCTTCGCGGAACTAGAAATCTCCTTTTCACGCTTAAATCGCGCCAACTTTGTTCACGCATTTCTATAGCTCTATACTAATTCGCGCGTGAGCGACAATTTTTCTTTGTCATCGCACAAACCGCGTAGATTGACCATAAAGAACGTGGAAAGAGAGAGAGAGAGAGAGAGATAGGATCTAATTTTGATAATTAATTGTAATTGATCCGAAACTTTGGACCATAATTATTTTTCACACATAGACTATAGAAATATATCTCGATTATATGATAATTCTCAGAATTGTGCGTCTAACGGATTAAATCGGATTGATCTTGTCGGCGTATCACTTTTATTACGTTTACATTCATCGCGAGATATAATTGTTTCCACGTGTCGATTAAAAGCTAATTACGTTACGCTTGCGATGCAACGCGACCTTCGGCGCTGTCGAGCCGGACACGGATATTTCTATAGGCGCGCCCGCTCATCGTCAGATTATCGTGCGCGCGCTTTCGCGCAATCAACGCGCCTCGTAATTTCGCGACGGTATCCTCTCGGCTTCTTCTGCCGCTCTAAAACGGCAGGTCTTACGAACAAAGTATCCCGGCTCTTGAAAATTAGAAACGCGATATAAATGAAACGTGACCTCCAAGCCTCGTATATCTCGAATGAGACCCGGGATGCAGCGCGGAGAGACTCGGCGCGTATCGGAAACGGCTGCCCACGTGCGCTATTTAATGCAGCGCGATTCACGTGGCGCAACACGTGAGTCGGCGGATTCGCGGGTGGCGCGACAAGACGGAGGGATCGTTAAATGCGAAGCGAACGGGGAAAGGGGATGAGGGGGCGGGAGGCGAGAGAGAAAAGATTGCTCTCTTCTCAGGTACTCGTCACTATTTTAGATATCTTTGCACAATTATATTACGGAGCGAAATCTTCGATATTATGCATTCGTCCCGATTCTTTGCGTGTCTTTTATATGACATTATTTCCGTCGCAATATCGAATTTTATCAATAGCTAAATGCGAGTAGCAACTTCTATATCAATCATATTCTTCTAACAATAAGAACTGGTTTAATCTTAGTTAAATCTTAGTCTAATTTTAACCGGCAGCGTTATCAACTCTAATCTCTTTTTAAAATCTCAGAATCAAACGGTTTTTAATTTTTTTATACGTTGCATATTTTTCGCGATATATATTGCCGGCGATAAAAGCGAGGAGGAGGAGATTACTTCATATGTAGTACTGGTTCAGACATAGGGAATCGTCAGAACAATTTTTATTTTAATCGTCCCATCTCGCCACACAAAGAGAGAGAGAGAGAGAGAGAGAGAGAGAGAGAGAAAGGGGGAAGCTTTTATCTGTAGCAGGCGATGGCCTATAGGCCTATACGATTCATCTGCCTCAATCAACGAACGGAGCAGAAACAAATGCGGCATCACGCACGACGGAGTCAGAATCGCATGGCCCATGCCGATCTCCGCGTCTAAGGATCGACGTCTGCCGGAATAAAATCGTCGTTCAACCGGAAAATACAAAGGCATGTGCGGGCGACGTCCATAGATCGGCGGGCGATGCTGCAGTTGACAGATCGAATCGGGAGAAAAAGAGAATGCTCATAAAACCTAATAGGTCAGACAGCTTATAATAACTATCGCTTATTCGTGACCTATATTAATTATTATTAAATGTTATCCTCGGATTCATATGAAAAATTTGAGTAGCCGTAAAATAAACGTGAATATATAAAATGCAAATAGTTTGATCTAATTGGTTTGTTCACGAAAAATATGATACATCTTTCTTCGATTTTTAAGTATTAAACATGTCGGTGATCAATCTTTAAACTAATAATCAATTTACAGATAAAAAGTCTGTGTCTCTTCTTATCTGAAGAATAAAGCTTTGCTTATTTCACGAGAAATATTAAATTAATTATTTCTAACTCAAGAGCTATCTATTATTAATAAAGGATTGCTTTCGAATTGATTAAGAGATCTCGCCGCATTCACTCCTACAAAACTATTTTTTGATTATCACTGACTATACTAAATGCTATACTAAATGCTTATCTATGTGAGTGATTGTTAATGCGCGGGCAATGCAAATAAAATGTCATATGAAAAGAATAAGAAGAGAGGTTGCCAGGCGAGAGAAATTCCGGAGACAGGGAATATGTGTACGCATGAGTACGTTGACCTGAAATGACCTGACCTGCGACAACCTAACATGTCCGGCGATAAACTGCCGTATATCAAAGTAATTTAATGCGCGGATCATCGGTACCGATATACATATATATGTATATATAGGTGCGTTACGCAGTGTGTGGCCGCGGTGCGCCACTTTTACGTAAATGGAAATGTGCGCGCGGTCTTCTGTATATCTGCGCGTGTGTGTACACGTATGCAATTCGATGACGTTGCACCTACTTCGAACGCATCGGCTATCAATGACCGCGCTTTTCTTACGATTTTTTTCGCAAGATCATTCATCGAAAATATTGTTTGCAAATTTTCTTCGCGAAACTTAAAACGTCTCAAATTTAATACTATATTATGTAAAAAAACTTCAAGCTTTGAAACTTTGGAAAAGAATATTTTTTCAGCAATCTTAGAGACATATAACATCGATTCGTATATAAATGAATATCGACAACTGTCACTGACCATCGCGTTAATTGCGATTACGATTTCAAGCAAATGCTATTCACGTCGAAATAAGGGAAGCGAACCATTATGTTTTAGTACGCTCGACGCTCACCTGTATATTCAACCGACGCGGAATTAACACCGGAGCGCTATTCCCAGATATATATCCGAGTGGGGTTGCGGGCGAACACGTGACCGAGAAACGTGCCTCTCCCGGTGCACGTGGACCCGGGCGCATCCCCCGATATCGGCCGCTGACGCGCCTCGTGCCTTCAACCCTCTTTCGTTCAAAGACGGAAGAGAAGCTTCCATTCGTCTCAGTCATCGCCGAGTCTCCTCAGGCTGTGTGTGTACGAAATTGCATCGTCAGTTTTCGCGAGTTGACGCGCTACGAGAGTACGAAGTCGAGAGCGATCGGACACGTATTATTCGCGCGCGTAAAAATTCACCTTAAATTATACTGAGAGACGCATTAAAACCTTGACATCATGGTGCATCCGTCTATAATTCTTCGTGGTCGCGACTGCGTTCTCGATTCGGGTTATGACGTGAGAATGATAATCGATAGATTTAAACGACGTTATCTCAAAGAAGCTAGCTACCGGGTTCGCGTAATAACGCAACGAGTTTAATCCGCGAATCATAGAATCGAGATCGATCTGAACGCAGCAAAGGGTTCCTTTCGCGGGGATAATCAACAGTTACGGCGGAACATAACACATGTTCCTTTATGTGACAGTGATTTTCTATATTTCTTATTTTTACACTTGTGTCCGTAATACATCCGACTTGCCCTTTTTTTTTAATGTGAAGATTTAAGAAAACGAAATTTGCGATCAGCCAATTCATGGCATAAATTATATTTTTATATGTTTCGAGTGATCAGATAATCAATTCTCTAAATTTTACATACACACACACACATGTTATATTATTTCAAATATAACACGAATATGAACAAATATTTTTATAATATTTAAAGCTAGTGAAAATTTATAGTTACTTCACATTGAGTTTTTTAATTGGTCTACTTTCGAGTTTTTCATTTCTATTTTTCCCGGACAAAAAGATATTGTGTCGAATAGATTCTATTCTATGCCATAAATGAGATAAAATTAAAATAAATCTAAAAAATACTCCGTTTTTTATTTTTTTCACATATTTCATCAAACGGACAAAGTCAAAAAAATAACTATATTTAAACAATAATATTCTGCTAATTTGCGTGATCGGATGAAATATTACGGAGGTATATTTGAAAAAAATATATAACTATTTATATAAATAAGAAAGTTGTTTAATTTGCTTTTATGCACTCGTTTTTTATAGAACTCGTGGATAGTTTGACGACGAATGCGGAAAACTGGATAAAACAAATATAATATATCTGCTCCAATTTTGAGTGATAAAATATAAGAGAATATAAATGTGCATCGTGAACAAAAACTGCTATTACGATTAAAGCGATATAAAAGCCAATCGTCGTCACATTATAATTAATAAATTATTTTGCGACGCAAAAACATATTGAAAATTAACATTAATATTTTTGTAATAATAAATAACCCGTAAAGATAAACTTGCTTATCGATAAAAAAATATTCCATTATCTAAAAACATTGTCATTGCATCTAAATCAACGAATATTACGTGAAATAATAACGGACAATTTTTCATTAAAAATCGAAGACAAATATGGTGTCGAATCTTAAGTGATTGTATGAAAACTGTTGATATTCAATATACATCTTACATCCGATAAGAAAAAAAGAAAACTGTCGAATCCAGAATGGATTCCTGCGACTGGACGCGAATGGGAAACGAAGAGAGAGAGAAGATGGCCGGTGCGGACGCGGCCGCCGCCTCCTGGCAGCAGTGTTATACCTGGTGCACGCCGTACTCGCATCCGCATCCGCAGCCCCACCATCACCACCCTCATCATCCCCGTCAATACCAGGATAGCCAGTATCAGCAACTACCGGGGAGCGCCTCCACCGCCGTAAACGCTTCCACTGCCCACTACCCGTCCTCCCAGCAGCATCATCTGCAACTGCAAACCGCCCAGCCGCCGCCTCTGGACCAACAGCCGCATATTCACCCTATTAAAGGACAAATCGGGCTCAGGAGAGCAGTTGCTTATGACAGACCAGGTATCCAAATTACACTCGCGCGTCAATATCGGCGATATCGATCCGTTTTGTAATCGAAAATTAGATGAAATTCAGCAGTTTATCATATCGTTATCACGCTATATGCGTTCTATAAAAAATACTAACTAATTAATATTAGTCTCTTTCACGAGAGTCCGATCTGATCCTGCGTCGCGGAAGCTGATTACATTTCCAACAATCCCCGCTCCTTGCCTCCTGGATATTCCAAATTATCTTTTTCGCCGCGCTCCGGGGAGAATTCTCCTCGGACGTGAAATTATATAAGTGCCTCGGTCGATAGTCACGCAACGTCAATCACCAAATGGATCGATCCTATCGAAAGGGTTAATATACCCATATCGGTCTCGAGAGCTAGCCTCTCCTCTGCACACATATCTTAAAAATATCATGTTGATTATAATTCCATTCTTTCATACACTCTGGCTATGCCCAGGAGGCTCGCGTTTCTTCCTCGCGAGTTTTTTACGATATCGTCTCTTTTATCGATAATACGAAGATTATTAAAGATGATAGAGAAGATGTAGGATCCTAAAATCTATATTTTCGGACGACGGAGAGACTTAATTTGGTTAATAAATAAAAATAATAATTATTCTCACACGCATCTTGCTACTGACAATCCTGTCCGGCGCCTATTTTCTATCGATGATGCTACTCAAGAAGATCCAATTTTCTAAGAACCCGATATGGCGAGCGATTAAAATAATGAAACCTCTATAGCTGCGAGCGGGAAAAATATTATTAGGCGATACAAAAATGTGTTTCACGTAGTACATTCTATCAATTAACTTTTACTTCTGTATAATAAACGCGGAAGAGTAAGCAACGTTTATGCGATGGCAATAAAATTATAGATTTTATTGTCTCTATAGTGGCAGCAAAATATAACAATGGAAAAAACATCGATTTTCGTGTCAGGTACTTTTATATATTCTTTCTTCATTAATATAGGTTGTCAATGATAAGCAATCGTGGATTAGGAATTTTTATCTTCGCGCGACACCGGCGTCGGAATGGCGAAGATGTCGAACGCAATTTTTCCGGAAGCGTGTTGCGTAATGCATTTCGCGACGAAAGGGATTGCCCTGTCGCGGAAGCCCTCGCGAAGGGGTAAGGGGGGGAGGATAGTCGCCCACGCAACCATCGGTAAATAGTCCGCTGAATTATTCATGGGAATCTGTTGCTTCCATCTAAACGGCTGTATCGCGCTGGTCTCGCAGTGCGGATTTGTTTAACCAAAAAATATGTTAAGAAATAAATTGACTCACTAAAACGCAGAGAAGTAAATATTTATAAAGCCACTTATAATTCCTTTTTGCGTAATACACCAGACATGATTTATTTAAGATTTATTATCAATTTGTTCTTTTTACCTTGGATCACCAAATCACAGATCCGTGAAATTGATTACATGTGCGGTAAATATTTAATTGCTTCAATTAAAACTTTACTTTTAATATCTTAAACGCTTGTGACATAAAAAAATTGTCGAAAATAGGAAATCATGAATTATGGTGTAAAGTTTGATGATAAATAGCAAAACGGAATCTTTAGATTAGCAGCGCTATGATGTGATTCTGCGTAGAGATGACGCATTCCAATGACATCATTAAAATTGCACGCACAATTATTATACTTCATTATTAGTATTTCTCGCCACGCATTTCTTGTCGGTAGCACTTTTCGTATCTATAGATGATCACATTATTTATTCCCATGACGTTCTTGTATATAAATATTTATTAATTTGTTTGCCGTCTATCTAATACGAACTTTTTTCGCATTTCTTATGATCTCTTATGATTGATCTTTTCGACTCAGGAGCGGATAACTACTTATCGTGGCCCTGGAATTTATTATATAAATATTTACAATTCCGATTGAAAATATCAGTTTCCGATTGAAAAATTGTCAACGATAATTTTTGTAATTGTATTCCGGTCGGAATTGAGTTTTCACTCGCTCCAATTTACTTGCTTTGAAATTCAATTATGTAATAACAGTGTATATTCATCTCAGTTTGTTGTTGAAAAGAATTGTCCAGAAAGTGCAGGGGATGTATCGAGACGACGTGTTTATTCGAGAAAAGCGATTGCGAATGGAAATCGCTGTTACGCGTTCACGGCGTTATTTTCTGTCCCATGGAAATTCGAGAGATAATCCGGATATCGAAATAAACAACAACGTCCATCATGCGAAGCGACATAACACGGAAACTGTATCTAATCGCGTGCCATTTCCATAAACGGCATTCTTTTCACCATGTCGTTCTTTTCGCGCGCGCAATGCTCACTTTTATATTACTCCGTTATTCAAATCACGCCTCGTCCGGTCAGTTTTGAGATGTATAAGAGAATAACTTTGCCGTCCTTCACAAATGAACCGCAGTCTGCAGTATCTAAAATTTCTTTTGGTTAGAGACATATCGTGTTTTTATTTTTATTTTGCACTCTACTTAAATTTTGATTAAATAAAGTAAATAAATTAGTTAACTATCTCAATTATAAAATATGTATGATCCCTATAAATTCATCAAATCTAATAGAAGGAGCATTAAAGAAACATATTTTGTCTCTACGAATAAATTTTACAAACGATATAAAAATGAATAATGAATGAGACTTGTATATAATTGAATCAAGACATAATATATCTTAAAATTGTAGTCATATTTCCGTTTTTTTTTTTCGATAATTTTAATCTTATTGTTAACTTCACACTTTGAAAAATGCTAAGAATCATAAGCGCGTTAAAATCTGAGAGTAAATGATTAATTAGACAGTACGCTAACGACGTTTAACGACAGGAATGGTAAACCGAGTGAAAATGCTACCGCGAGGAATCCACGATGAATTACATGGTGATCGCTTGATTAGCAAAGCGACATCGCGAGAAGAGATTTGCGCGTATCCTCGAGCGGGAACATAAATCCATCCGCCGTCAGGACGCAATTACGGCAGCGCTTCTAACCAGCCGCGCATGACTTATTATTGTTTCTCCGCTGCCATATGTGCGTTTCATTCGTACGTACGTACGTACATAGGTCACGAATGCGTGCTACAGGGATTGGGCGGATACACGTGCGAGAGAAGCATCGAGAAGGAAAGCCCCCCCTGTTCGTAAAAGCGTAAGTCTGCTTTACGCAATTAATTAATTAATTATTTCGCCGCGTGTTGTGCATCCGTACTATCATAATCTATGGATTTCTTAGAATCGGGAATTGTTGAATCAATGAGATCCTGCCGGTAAAGAATTGCTACAAAGTATTAATCCGTGAAAAAATTTCGATTCAGAAATACATCTTGATAATCTTAATCGTTACAATAATAGTCGGAATATTTAAAGAAAAATAATTATTATAATTAATATATGAAAATTAATCCAACATTCGTAGAATATATTCGCGAAGATGTATAGCCATCTGAATTATTTGGATTGATCGGTGAAAAAAATAATAAACAAGACCATTGTCGCCGTAATTAATTTTTTTCTCGTGAATAGTAATCGGAATGGGATTATCGTACGGATCGCTCGTTAGATTCTCGCGCGAAGCGCGTAATATTTCGTCGTTTTTTTTTCCACGTCCGTATACGTCGCTGAATCACGAAATTTTCTGCCGTTTTCCGTCTCATTATTATATGGAAAAAGATCGGATCTAAGATTCGTGGAAAAGAGACGTATTGAGGGAGGTGAACACGCGAGACGGATGAGGGGCGTAACGACATCGCGAGAGAGAAATGATGGAGGCGGCGGGGGGCAGAGGGATCGGGGGGCTAAAACGGAGGGGGAGAAGGAAAGCGATTACCCCGCGATGGTTTGCATCTCCTGCGTCGACCGTCTCGGTTAGAAGTAAACAGCGCGGCCGCCGCGTTATCCTGAAACGTTGCATTATCCTCGGCAGCGAGATGGAACGCCTTGGACAACGTCCTTGAGCGCGGAAACGCACTTGCGATACCGTGACGGTACCGTAGGCGAGCGGAAAAATCGACGATCTAAACGCCAAGGAGGATCGTGTCGTTTCACGTGTCCCCGGTCCGTAGCGCGGTTTTACCTCGATAAACTTTTGCAGGAATTCAACATCGTGCATCGAATGACATTTCTCGAAATTTAGTTGGTAATGCTTTAATTTAGTTTTGCAACGGAACGCGGAACCTTCTGTGCGTGTATGTATGTATGTATGTGTAAATACAATCGTTCGCGTTTATACTCTATCTATAATTATACGAATAATTATATAATTAATATGTATGGAAAACAAATACACATGATTAGATAATTATACTCAACGAGACATGTCTGTTTTACAGCGAAGGTCTCAGCATAATTGCTTTACAACACACACACATTAACACCTGTTAATATATTCATTTAGTTAACTTATTTAGTTAATACAATTCTTAGCGATTCCCCGATCGAAGTGTTTTGACATTTTAAACGGAAAGCCCTGATTATTCCAATTTATTCCAGGTTAACGGTCACACACAACTGTTTTCTCTCTCTCTGTTATTCTCTTATGCAATTTCAACAGTATTTATAACAGCAGTATACATTATAACACAATTATAACAGCGCTGCGCTTGATATTTCTTAACAATACCAGCTTAATTATTTGCATCTGACATTATCAGAGCAAAATATACGCGAGTATTAACTCAATTTCGAAGAATTTCTATTAATACCCAGAGTTTATTTCAATAAAACTAAAAATAGAGTAAAAATAAAAATAGAGTATATATAGTTTTGATTATCATGTAGTTCAAATTATTATTGAATTTTATCCAGAATTTTATAACAGTCCCTTGATTGAGATCGCGATCTGAAGTCGTAGATATGATGTAGCATTAATTTATTTTTCTAGGATAACAGCTGTGCCAAAAATATAAAAATACACTTTAGATAAATATATTTTATTATTTCATCGCGCGGTTACGCGAAGCATTTTCACCCTTCGTAACAGTCTTTGATGCTTTAAGGTTGTC